GTTATTATGATTCATAGGTCTTTGTAAAGAATGCTTTAAGGCATTGAAAGTTATAGGGAAATTTGTCACATGGCTTGTTTTATCATATTGTTCTTTTTTGTTTTAAACTTGAAAGGTACACATAATATTTTTTTTCTATATTATCTTACTTCTAAAACAATTTTTAATTTTAAAAAGTAAAAAAAAGAAAAAAAAACTTAGTTTTAGGATCTTTTGTTTTTGACTAAATTTGCAAAATGATTTTAAGAAAACAAATTCACTTTTAAAAAGTTTTAAGTTTGTATTTAATAGGTTTAAAATTACTACTTGATACAAGTATTTTGTATTATTTTTTTAAAAATTAAAAAATCTTAATACATAGAAGATATATTTCACACCAAATTTCAAAATCTATTTATTAACATTTTTTAAAAATGTTAATAGATAAAATATTTGTCAAAAATAAATATATTCAACCACTTAAAAAAAAAATTAAAATTGCGATTTATTATAAAATGTTAATATAAAAAAGGACTAATTTTTTAAAAAAGTTGATCGACAGGAGAGAAAGTCGGAGGATGTAAAGCAAGTGGACCCCAGTCTCATCCATTGTGAAAAAATAAAAACATACGAATCCCTTTTATCATTTAAAAAAGAAGGAAAAGAAATTATATATTTTTGTAAAACTTTAAATAATATAATAAAAAAAAATCCCTTTTATCTTACTCCATTTGCTCATAAGCTTTAATTAAGGCTTCCATTTTTCTTTTTATTCTCACTTCACTCTTCTTCAATTCCATTTTCCCTCTTACCACATTCTGCCGGAATCCTCCATTGTTCAGATTTCCCGATGAGGTCGATGCCCTTAAACCCTGTGATTTGCTTTCTTTAGTTTCTTTTCAATCCCTTTCAATCGATTCAATAAGAAGAAATGTCAATTTATGATGCTGCATTTGTGAACACGGAGCTCGCTAAACCGACCTCGATTTTCGGCCTTCGTCTTTGGGTTGTAATCGGAATCTTAGTCGGAGCCCTAATAGTTCTCGCACTGTTTCTTCTTTCACTCTGCCTCACTTCTCGCAAGCGGAACCGCCATAAGAACCAAATCCGTTTCCCTAAGTCCACAACCGACCATTCTCCTCCCGCCGTTTCGAAGGAGATCCAGGAAATCGTCCACCACGCCGTGCCGGATCATCACCACCATGTGCAGCCGGAAATTCATGTCGAGATTGGAAAATTGGAGCATCGGGTTGTTTTCTCCGATAGACCCTCTAGTGGTGAGAGTAGAGGCGCTGTGAGTGAAAATGCTTCTTTTGGATCTGTTACTGTTGGTCCTGAGGTTTCACACCTGGGTTGGGGCAGATGGTATACTCTGAGAGAGCTCGAGGCGGCCACTAATTGCTTGTGTGAAGAGAATGTGATTGGAGAAGGTGGATATGGAATCGTGTATTTAGGCATTTTAGGAGATGGTACCAGAATTGCTATCAAGAACCTCTTGAATAACAGGTGATCGTGTGGACTAGTTCTATAATGTTTTATCCTTGCTTTTGTACTTTTGACTTAATTTTCTTCTGCAACTTGAGGGCTCCGTTTGGTTTAGTTGGGAGTGGTTCTGTTTGATTTCAAGAAATCTTAGTCAATTATGTGTTGGAGCTTAGAATGTGCTATAGAGATTCTAATGTAGTTGTTTCTTTTCTCTGGGGGGAGGGAAAGTTTCAAACTGCTACAACCTTTTGTATATCTGATTTGGCATGTTCTTCTTGGTTTGAAGAATATATCGATGCTGAAGTTTAATCTATTTGTTTATTAGGGGTCAAGCTGAGAGGGAATTCAAAGTCGAAGTGGAAGCAATTGGACGTGTAAGACACAAGAATCTTGTCAGGTTGCTGGGATATTGCGTTGAGGGTGCATATAGGTACTGTTGATTTTCTTTAAATTTGAGAGAGTTTTTGGTGCAAATAAACGTTTATTCTTAACCTTTTTTTTTCCTTTTTTTCAGAATGCTTGTTTATGAGTACATCAACAATGGCAATCTAGACCAATGGCTTCATGGCGATGTTGGGGATATTAGCCCTTTGACGTGGGAGATTCGTGTTAACATCATAGTTGGAACAGCAAAGGGGTATGTAATTGGGTTATTGCGGATTAGCTATTGATTCTTGTTGCAGCATGCAATACCACTAATGCAGTTCCCTCTCTGTTTTGTTTTTTCTATTGTATAGATTAGCATATCTTCACGAAGGTCTTGAACCAAAGGTTGTCCATCGTGATGTAAAATCAAGCAACATACTTCTTGATCGTCAGTGGAATGCTAAAGTATCTGATTTTGGGCTGGCCAAGCTTCTTTGTTCTGAAAGAAGCTATGTGACAACTCGTGTAATGGGCACATTTGGGTTAGTTCATATCTTATGCTCGATTGTTATTTTCTACGGTTCATAAGATGGTAAGTCATTCGGTGATTTCTATAGCTATGTTGCACCTGAGTACGCCTGCACTGGGATGTTGAATGAAAAGAGTGATGTTTATAGCTTTGGAATTCTAGTTATGGAGATAATTTCAGGGCGGATCCCTGTTGATTATAGTAGACCTCAAGAAGAGGTAAGTTTTTCTTTGCATCTAATGCTCAATTATGAGTAGTTAATGCATTAGTGTTATCTCCGTTCTTTTCTTTTCTGCTACTTATGCAGTTGATGTTAATTGCAACTACAGGTAAATTTGGTGGATTGGTTGAAAGCAATGGTTGGAGACAGAAAATCTGAGGAAGTGGTTGACCCCAAGTTGCCAGATAAGCCTCCTTCCAAAGCTCTCAAACGGGTTTTGTTGGTTGCTCTTCGCTGTGTTGATCCTGATGCTACGAAGAGGCCGAAAATGGGACATGTCATCCACATGCTTGAGGCAGATAATTTGCTGTCTCATGATGTATGAAGCTGCATCTAAAAGCTTTATTTGAAGTTTTTGGTTTGCTCTTAACAGTTCTCCCAACTCAATCCGTCTTTAACTAATTTGTAGGAACACCGGGTCGGTAAGAATTCTTCTCATTCGGTTCAAGGCCATCAACATGAGAACCGGGTCATTCCAAGACAAGTTAACAACCCGAAGTATGAAGGTGCATCTTCTAATGTAAGTGAAGGTGACAATGGAAACTTCAACATGAAGTAGGTGGAGATAATAACGTATCACACTGGCATGATTTACACGACTGACACTGCAAGTTTCTCTGATGTTGGGAGCTGAATCAACAAGTATAGGGTTTGCTTTATAGAATTTGTTTATGCGCTTCAGCTGCATCACATCTCCAGATAGGTTGCTTTTCTAAACTTAAGTAAGTCCCATTCTTATAGAAGAAGCTATAACAATCGAAACACTTCCTCTCTGGTTCGATGTGCAGCGTTTGCTTAGGATCCTTAAGTCCTAGTCGCTTTCTGACTTGATATTGACCAAACAAAGCCATTGTCTATTATTACCTTTTAGGGTTGGGCACCTAGTTTCTATTTGGTTAAGATAGCTCTTGTGTCATTGTACATCTAAAATTACACCCTTTTATTATGGAGAACGTTGGTCCTGTCAATTGTTTGGTCAAGCACCTAACCAGCTTTGTTGGTGGAATTGGTTGAAACTTCCGGTGAGATTGTGTAGCCTATAACTGTATGCTTGTGAAGTGTGGTCCCTGTGACCAGCAAGTTTGGTGGAGACATCTCCAACTGCATCTTCGCCTTCATGTGCTCTTTTGCTCTGTTCTGACTGGACCAGCGAGGCCAAGATGTGGACTAGAATGGAGGCATTCGACATCGAAAACATGACGGGGTTTTGTCCGATCTTCACGTTAGGCCGCCCAAAGTTTCCTCCTAAGCTGGCTGTGGATGCTTCTGAAGGGATCAGATCAATCCTTTGGTTTATCTTCCACCATACATTGTCTTTTCAAGCACTCTGTCAAACTGAATGTCTTTGGGAAGCTCCTTCAAAACCCCTTATCCAAAGCCTTGCTTTTGGAGAGTAACATAATTTTTATTCATTTTCTTCCTTGAAAATTTGCATCTTTGTATTTATTAATTTATTTTTACAGTTGTTGTCACAGTAAGATTTATAAAGAAACTCCATTTGCAGAGTTGGGGCCAAGTGTGCTGGATCAAACTTGACCAAATTTGGTTGTGTTCCCAATACAGAATAGCTTTGCCATTTGTTGAGGTTTTCTAGTTCATTATTTTAACTTGGAAGCCTAACTATGGGCTGTTGAACATATTGGTTAAATAAATAATTGTGTTCGGTGGAGATTCGAATCTCGTGGAGGTAATGTCTTAATCAGTTAGTCTATCCTTAAACAATTTAATTAGAATACAATTTAATTAGAATACAATTTAATTAGAATGGAGAATGAAGAGTTTTTTCAAGAGATATATTGTCAAATCCAATTTCTTTATAAATATGGTGTAAACAATTCCACCTAAATTTCTAAATTCTTTTATAAATATTAGGTAATTAATATGCATTATAAATATTTTAAATGTAAAATCCTCCTATCACTCGTTATACATAAATAAATAATAATTAAATTTTCTTACTTTTATTGCCACTGTTTTTTATATGATAATGTGACGTAAAATCCACACCGTCCAAACGTGGAAGATGTTTGACGGTCAAAGTGTATTAATTCCACCAGCCAGACCAGTCAAAATCTGCCACGTTTAGTGCCAGAAGTCCTGTCATCTGTCCGTGAGTAACCTCCCATTCATTTTAGCGCATTCCCGAACGAAACAAATTCGGCCAAGGAAATTAGATTCCACATGACGGTCACGAAAAAAAAAGAAAAGAAAAAAATTTCGGTGTTACGTCAACATCCAATCAATTTCGTCCACGTTTCCACCTTTCGCACAATTTGCGTACCTCTCCTGTTAGTTTATCACCGCCTTTATCATCAATTCTGAGAAACATCCCCCCATTTCCATCACGCAATTTCAACGTTTCCTAGCTGCGATAATTTCTTGGAAATTTCCTTTGCTCTCTGGTTTCTGAATCTGGTAGGAACCGCTCCATTTTTTTTCTCGAAATGATTTGATCTTATTGCTTTCAAAATTATTCTGTTTGCTGTATGTAGATTTAGGTTTCGATGTAACTATATAGGGTCTCTGTGATTTTTTTTCTTTGAATAGATGTTTGGTGTCGATTTCTGAAGGATTTTTTAATTTGTTCTGCTCTAAACGGATTGTTCTTCGTAGATGTACGAATTGGTAACTTTGATACTCTGATTTCTCTTTATTTATTTATTTATTTATTTATTTTTGTACTTTTTGTTAGTTTACTTGTAATTGCTTGTAAATATACATTCCCTTTTATGGTGTTTTCTTAATTCTTTTTTCACAATTTTTTTTGGTGTAGAAATTGATCTCTGGAAATGCGTGTCTTGGAATGTTTTTAAGATTTTGTTTGAAGGAAAAGATAGTGTTTTTTGCTGCTTCACAATATTGAAAATTAGATTGACGGTTGACCATTTTCTCCCCTCAATTTTATGCGTGGAAAATGATTTGTTTTCCTTGTGCAGTTTGTTGATATTAGGTGTAGCATTTGATGAAAGTTGTGTTGTTGTCTTCTGGTTTGGGAAATCCCTTTGTTTACTTCTGGAGCTTTTTGCTACAAAAAAATTTATTGGGTTTTTGAATAAATTCAATTCTGGGATGTTCTGTCATTAGACTCATATTTTCATTCCAAAGGTTGAAAGTTGTAACATTACATGGGGAGAACTAGCTATTTGAGTTGTTCTTTGCAAGGAGAATTCCTTGTTAAGCAGGAAACTTGGCTGTTTACTGATGTTAGTAGTTGGTTTATCTAGTTCCTTCATCAGTGCTTTACTTCTGCCCTACATTGGCTAAATTGAATATGCCACGTTTGGAAATTCCATGGAAGGTTTGGTGCAACAATTGCATCTAAAATTTGTGTACATGATATTCCATGTGATTGTGGCATGATGGATGGTTATCTTGAACTTGTTTCCAAATGAGAGCTCATCCTTGGTTTTTATACATCTTGCAGTTCGTGTTATATAATGAGCAAACCGCAAGAGCCGCACCGGCCTTTCTTTCATTTTGGGAATCCTTTCCGTGCAATATCGCCAAAGGGTTCAAAATTGTCTTCTAGACTTGTTTTTCTTTTAGCCACTTTTGAGGATTCCTTGGCACAGAAGCTGAGAAAGCTTACTCCTAAATCGGATCATGACGTATTTAGCTTCTTATGGATGGGATTAGCAATGAAGCTGCTGTGTGAAATTCACAATGATGTAAAAACTCTTATAGGAGATCTTGAGCTCCCTGTATCTGACTGGGGTGAGAAATGGCTAGATGAGTACCTGGACATCAGTGTGAAATTACTTGATATATGCAATGATTTTAGCTCTGATCTCTCACAGTTGAATCAGGGTCATCTGATACTTCGGTGTGCCCTGCACAATCTGGCTTCTACATCTTCCAACCAGTTTGTTCCGGCCCGTTCTTCGTTAGATGCATGGAATCAACATATTAGTTCCAGAACCTCCAGAGTTGAGAACCGTTCTCCTATTATGGACCATTTTGAGGAATTACTTGATCTTCCGAAGGTCAAGAACTCACCCAAAGGCAAGGTTTTGATGCAAGTGATGTACGGAGTGAAGGTGGCAACTTTGTTTATTTGCAGTGTTTTTGCTTATGCCTTCTCCGGTTCTTCCAAAAGGCTGTTATCCATCAATGTTCCGGATACATACAGATGGGCACAAGCGTTTATTGAATTACAGAAAAATGTAAATATGGGAATTAAAATAAATCATTCCAGTGGAAGGTTTACTGCGTTGAGAGATCTTAATGCAGTTGATGAGCGTGTAAAAAAACTGCACTCTATGATTCAAGAAAATATTGATGGTGGCATGAAAGTGGAAGAATGTCAAAATTTGATTGTAGATTTGAGGAGCGAGGCAGAAAAGCTTACACAAGGTGTTGATCATCTTACAAAACAAGTTGATGAGTTTTTTTACATTGTTTTATCTGGACGTGATGCATTGCTTTCAAATCTTAGATCAAGTGAAACAGTATTTGATCAGGGAATGGAGGCGCTGTCTACAAGGCAACCGTGACGGAGTCTGAGCTTGCTCGTCTATATGAAAGGGTTCAACTGGTTATTTTCCTGTCTTTTGATTGGTGAATGTACAATATCTTGTCTTGCTTGTCATAGTATAGCCTGTGTAAGAATAGTTTATGTTTTCTTAATTTTGTGGTTTGAGTGTGTAATGTTGTACTATGCAATGAGAGTGAAATGGAAAAGTATATCATGTTCAAGTAGAAGCTTTGCTGACTTAAGTTTTCTTTACCGGTCACATACTATAATTACAGCCACTGGATTATGACATTGTGTCTCTTAAAACTTTGTTTGCTGATGCAGTGACAGAAGGAAAAGATCAGAAGCATGAGTTTTCATGCAGTGTGTCGCGGTCTAGGACCGCCAACCTTGCCGGTGAACATTTGCGAGTTAGCTGCACAAATTGGCAGTGGGTTTGTGAATTTTACTTGATGGTTGGATCCTTCTCACATCTTGAACATTTTCCTTATCTTATCTCATCGTTTTCCTAGTTTTTTTCTGGCATATAACTTCATTTACTCGCTAGTTGCTTTTAAAGAGAAATCAAGATGACATTCTATGGGTGAGTCCAACCTATATTAATCAGAACTGTGCTGGAAAGGTAGAATACAGGTCTTTCAGAACATTTTTAGATAGATTTTTATGCCATCAGTAACGATATATTGACTCGATATAGCTTTTGCTGGTACACAGCAAGAAAGCTTCATGCATGACTTATTTGATATGAGCATTTTCTCAACTCGACTGCTTCAATTGGTATAGTGTCCTCTGGAAATTTGCATGTTGTAATCTTTTCTTCTCCCTGATCGGGTAACAGACTGCACGGTGGAGGAGTAACCTGGCTGGTTATTCCCTCAACATCAGTGCAAGTCCATGGCTGTTTCTTGGCCTTTGGTGCCATGCTGATTGTCACATTGGAAATGCAGATATCTGTAAATGAGTCACCCGAAATTCCCTCCAATCTCGCTGCCATTGTTGCGTTTTCAACGACTATATCCCTGTAGTTGATTCCTTGAATTACAGGCAATGCGTGGGGGTCGTATTTCTTATCAGCATGTGACCCGTAATTGCCTGTCATCCAAAATGCCCATTTCATGGTATGCATTGTCATCCTCCTTACATATATGTCTTTTACATATCCTCCCCTTCCTATGCCAGTTTTGATCCTGACCCCGGATTCGGAATTGATGGCTGTGATGTCTTCGGCTCGGACATCTTGGATCCCGCCCGACATCTCACTTCCCAATGCAATGACAGCACTTGTAGGCGAAATGCACGTGAGGCGTCTGATGACCAGTTGCTTAGTCGGCCATCCAAATCTTATGCCATACTCATCCCAGCCACTCTTAACAGCTACACAATCATCTCCAGATACTATGTAACAATCTTCAATTCTAACGTTTGTGCAGGAATCTGCAGATGAAGTCGGTCATTGGTTTAACAAGATGTATAAAACTACTTCTCGAAAAGTTTGAGTTGCTTTGGTGAACAAACCTGGGTTGATACCGTCTGTATTCGGAGATCGAACTGGTGCGATAATGGTGATGCCTTGAATAACAAGGTTGCTGCATAGCATTTGCAAGTGAATCAAATCTGGGAAAATGTTGAATGTACTCATTGTTCCTATGAAATAACTAATTGGTTTACCTGCTGTAAACAGGATGAACATTCCAAGATGGAGAATTCAGCAGGGTCAGATTCGATATCTGTATATTGCTGGAATACATGATCTCGATCAAGTACGGTCGGGTGTACTTAAGCTTTCCCTGATGAAACAGCTGCCACCAGCGATCACCCTGACCGTCAATCGTACCATTGTTTCCTGAGGTCGATTGTGTTGCACTCAAATTTTCAGACACCAGTCCAGAAAAATGAGAGACAGACAGGAGGGTATAGCAGTGGGACATATACCTGTGATGACAACATCAGTGAGGTTTGTTCCAAAGATTAAACTGATGTACCGTCCCCCCGATGTGTCCCTTCCATGACCGTAGGATGGCAGCGGTTCGACCACAGACCATTCGTTCAGATCCTATCAAGGAAGTTGAAAATCAGTCAAATTTTAGATGAAAATCAGTCCTTAAATTATAGTCGTTGGATCGACAAGTCTAGTTGATTTAAGATTCTCTCGACTCGATGATTTTGTTAGATGGGGATGGACCTTAACCTTAGAGTCGGTTTAACAACTTTAGCGGACCTAACCACAACAAGTGTTTGGATTTGAAATGGTTAAGGCATAATTTAAGGACCTAATTTACATGGAATCCAATGGATTTCTAGATCATTCAATTTCTTGTTGTTTGTTTTAAAACCACTTGGAAAAAGTTGAAGAAACTGCCCCAACTTTTGACCCATCAGCTCAAGACACCAATGTCTTTGCCTTTGACTTTGACTTTGTAAAACCAAACACTCAAAAAATAACCAATCTTCATCATGACAGATGTCCTCTAACAAATGATAATATCAAGATTTCCCCATTTACCATAATAATAACCCTATCTAAAAAAATATATATACTTTTTAAATTAATTATCTCTTCTATAAAAAAACAAAAAAAAATTGTTTTTTTTTTTGAAATTGGACTAAAAATTTTAATATTTAAAAAAAAAAGTAAAAAATGCAGTAAAAATTAATTATGAGGAAACAAACGTAAATTACAAAAAGGAATGATTTCAAAGAAAGTGAACATTTGGGCGTTTTTGTCATTGTCGTATAATGTTTTCGTAAACTTTACTCAAAAAAATATTTTTTTTAATCTATCGAGTTTCGTATTAATTTAATCCGTAAATTTTAAAAAATGTTTAATATTTTCTTCAACTTATAATTTTGTATCTAACAAGTATATGATTTTACTTTTTTTTAATTTATAAATTTACTAAATGGATAATTGAAAGGTCAGTTATACATAAAATTCAATTTTATAATAAATTTTATATCTTATTATAGATCAATTCATTTTTAACGACCCATGACTAAAATTTAGATGGTTTTAGGTCACCCACATCATTTTTGTTCCAATTTTATTCAAAATTCTAAACTAAGAACTTTAGAAAAATATATATTTTTAAAAATAAATAAGACATTTTTTTTTTAATAATTTAATTCATATTAATGAAATAAAATGTCAGATAGAGAGAGAGGGTAGACGAAAAAGGTGAAACCTGAGAAGCAAGCAGCACAGCATCCTGATGCAGAAACAGAGTGAAATGACTGGTGAGGTTGAAGCTGCCGGTAAGCCACCTCCCCGCCGGCACATACAGCTGAGCGCCACCATCGTCGGCGTATTGGCTCAGCCTCTCCACAGCCGCCTGAAACGCCTTCGTATTCGACGTCTCTCCGTCGCCAACGCCGCCGAAGTCCGTTATGGAAGCACTGTGGGCTCTGCAACTTATAGCCCCATATTCAATCATCTTGCCCTCCACAATCCTCCCCTTTCTGTGCTTTCTCCCCTTCCTCCCCTCAACTTCCCCCATCATCGCCGCCGCCAGAATAAGCACCAAAATCGCCATTTTCACTACCTGTGAAAACAAGAACAACATTTTTATTACAAAAACAAATTAAAAATATGAAGGCATTACAAAAAAAGATTAAAAGGGTTTGTTCAAATGCTAGAAAGGGGAAATGGGTCGGTGGATTTGAAGCTAAAAGCCACTAAAAATGGAAGCTTTTGAAGAGATTTTAGTGAAAGAAGCCATTGGAGAAGGAATTTCTTGTGTTCTTACCTGAGCTTTAATGGGTTTCTTGTAGAGTTCCTCCATTGTGATGATTTGTGAAAGAAACTGAGGTTGTGTTTGTGAGTGTGGGAGAAGGATGAGTGAGTGGGCGGTTTTATAGATTTAACTTTTAGTTGTTTGATGCCTTCACGTTCTACCCACCACGCCATTGCAAATAAGGAATTTTGTTTCAAGTTTTTTTTCTTTCAATTATTATTTTACAAATATTCCGCTTAATAAGTCGAACTTGGAAGAGATTTCTCTCCTTTAACTCAACGCGTCCCGGGACCGAATTATATTCACCCTCAATCCCGCCAAATTCTTGCCCTCCTCTCGCTTTATGTATATACACGAACATTTTATGAGTAGAAATTTTCGATGTCTTTGTCCTACCTACCATTGTAAATAAATAATTTATTTCTATAATTAATTAAATATTATCTTATGAAGTTAAAGTTTGGATCCATTTCATTATTTTTTAAGTCGGGAAAGATAGATAATTGAGAGAGATTTTTCTCCTTTAGCATAACACGGTCCCGAGACGAAACTATATTCTCAACAATCCCACTTAATGTCAATCTTTTTAATAAAATTATCGTCCAATGTGAGTATAATTTAATAACATTTTAATAAATATTTTTAATCCATTATTGATACAAAAAGGACAGTGTAACATAACATATATGGTTCGCTTTCGCACGGTTACGTATCGTCTCAGCTTCATGGTTTTAAAACGCGTGTATTAGAGAGAAGTTTCCACACCCTTATAAAGAATGGTTTGTTCCCTTCTCCAACAGATGTGAAATCTCACGATCCACCCCATTAGGACCAGCATCCTCCCTGACATACTGTCCAGTGTCTGGCTCTGATATCATTGTAACAACTCAAGCCCACTTATCCGCTTTGGCCCGTTACGTATCGTTGTAAACCTCACAATTTTAAAACGCGTCTACTAGGGAGAAGTTTTCACTCTGGTAAGAAATGTTTCGTTTCCCTCGTCACGTAATTATAGGACTTACCAAATAAAATTAAAATTAAAATGTTAAATTAAATTAAACTCACACCCTAACACACGTGTAACCTTTTGAGAATTACTAAAGTGCTTTTATTATATTTAAAAGAAAAATAAAATACACCAAATAATTTCAATTAACTATATACAATTTTTTTTAATATATAGTTTATTTGGGTAACGTATAAACTAAATATTGCGGTTAAATTTCAGCCACAAATAAAATAAAAATTAAAAAAGAAAAGAAAAGAAATAAATAATTAAATAATTAAATAAAAGTGGAATTTTAAGTTGGAAGTGGGAAGCATGGGGTGTGGGAAGGGGATGGGGGAGATAAGAGGAGTGGAATTTGTGATTTTACATCTCTGCCCCTAACTTTATATTAGTGAGTGGGTCCCACATTTGTCCTTTTTGGACTTTTCTTGGAGATTGTGAGTTTTTTGTTGTATAATAATCTCGTGAACGCCGATGGGCGATGCCTACCCACTTCTCACGCTCACGGGTTTATAAAAATAAAAAATATAATATTTTCAATAAAATATAAAACCCACTAAAAAAAATTAATAATAATCTTTAAACTTTACAAATTATTTATTAAAATTAAATTATTTTAAATTTGACTAATTTATTTGATATAAAAAATTTTATTTTCAATAATTTTCATTTTGAAGCTATATAAAGCCATATGTTATCAGTAAAACAGACCAAAAATTATAGTAAAAAGAGTATTTGTGCTTGCTTAGAATTAAGTTTTATGCAATTTCATGTGTTTTAGATTGCATGTTTAGAATCATTCAAGTTTAACATGATCAATCTTACTTGTGAAATAACTCGAAACTCAAAAAAAATTTCTTGCCTTGAGATATTTGATTAACAAGATAATCTCGAAGTTTCCAAATGTGTATCTCTATGAGAACGAGCATTATTTGTTCCTTATTCTACCTACATAATCAAGTTTTTTAGTCGAGAATTAGTTTGAATGAGTTGAATTATGCTTTCAAACAACAGCTAAATTTGACGAATGGGCTTGAATGGGCCGCCCAAAGAATTACAGATCCAGGCCCATTGAATCGCTCTTGATCCAATCGGCCCAAGGTCTCAAGCCCATGGCTTAACGTGACTGCCCACTTTCATTTTCTTTTCTTTTTTTAATAAAATTTAAATTTTTTTTAAAAGATCTCATATTAGTTAGAGAAAAAACGAAACATTTATTATAGATGAGTGTCAACCTCTCCTAAGTAGATTTGTTATAAGATCGTGAGATTGACGTTGATACGTAACGGGCCAAAACATACCATATTTGTTAGCTGTGGGCTTGAACTATTACAAAATGGTATTGCGAGGCACTAGGGTTAGACGTTACAAAATGATAAGGCACTGGTTAGTCTAGGGTTCTATAAAATGGTATTGTAAGATACTGGTTGGTCTAAGGCTAGATGTTACAGAATGGTATTACAAAGCACGGGTCGATATAGGCGTAAAACCTTTTCGTATTATGGGCATTTTAAATAGTGAGACTGACAATAATATTTGACATGCTAAAGCGTACAATATCTTCAAGTAGCTCCATAGTTTGCGCATTTTAAATAGTGAGACTGACGATGATATGCAACATGCCAAAACGGACAATATCTTCTAGTAATTGCGAGCGGTAACGTCTCAAAATATTAGAAATTGGGATAAATTTGGTTAAAAAAAGGCAACGTGAGAGTTTCATTTAGGAATGTTTTCCGTATTAAGGAACTCCACAAAATGGTGGATGTATTGTTGATGGAGCTTTCTGTTCCCAAAAATGGCGGCAGCTTCTTTTGCATTCCTTCTTATCTTCTCCCCTTCTTCTGAAACCAAAGCTTTTCTCAGAGCTTTGGCTATGGCTTCTCCACTGAAACAACCATCCGCCTCCTCTCTTTCAACTTCAACTCCGACGCCCTTCTCCACCAACAGCCTCGCACACAGCGGCTGATCGATTATAAACGGCAACAGAACAAGACAATGCCCGAATTGCAGTGCTTCAATGGCGGATCCCCACCCGCCGTGAAAGAAGCACCCTCCGATCGCCGGATGCCCCAAAATCTCCATCTGCGGTGCCCATCCCATACACACAATCCCTCTCTCCGCCGTTCGATCCTGGAATCCAACCGGAACCACGTCGGAATCATCCTCCGCCGCCCATCTCGGCTTCCTCAGAGACCATAAAAATGGCAGATCCGACAACTCCAACCCCCGCGCGATCTTGTGAACTTGATCCTTCGTCAATCTACACTCACTGCCAAACCCTACGAACACCACGGACTTCGGATTCTGTTTATCGAGCCACTCGAAGTTCGATTTCCATGGCGAATCGACAGAGAACTCTGTTTTTTGGGGCTTTTCTGGCGGAAGAAACCCTAACGGAACCACTTTCTTCCCGCAAGCTTCACTGTAGAAATTCAAGTAATGGCGGTCCGATTCGTAACAAGCACGAAGCAAAATCGCTTTACTAGCAGCAATAATCTTCCCCAAGCGATCTTGAACGCTCATCCCTGTCACATTTTTCACCGGAAACTCAGAGATCATAGCGGCGGCTTCAAATCTCCGAAACGAAACCGCCGATTCAAATCCGTCGAGTTTCATCGGCGTGGTGAGTTTATGAATATCAGGAAATCCATCTCGGAAAACATTCTCCATGAAAGCGAGAAATCCCGTGGAGATGACATTGAAGAACAGAGTAGGAATTTGCAAGTCTCGAGCAACGTTGCAGATCCAAGTAGCGTGGAAATCGACGATGAACCAGTCCGGCGGATTTGGAAGATCGTCGACGAGTTTCCTGAACGACGGTTCGGCGAGGTCTAATGCCATTTCGAGGAAAGGAACTTTGTCGAGAGGAAGGTCCATGGTGGCTTCAGCTCCCTCCGGCAAGAGAGAGCCGTCGTGAAGCTTCGGAAGAGGAAGGGGGAGTGGCGTTATGAGGGAGGAGAGCGACGGCGGAAATGGAGGAAGCCTCTGTAAATTTTTGGGGGTGGAAACGAAGTAGACATGGACGCCGGAGTTTGCTAGGGCAACGGCGAGTTGAAAATGAGGCATAATGTGGCCGAAGGCCAAGAACGGGAACTGAAGCACGCCAATTTGTTTCGCCATTGTTGCAGTTTCTGGTTTTGCTCAAGAAATTTTCATGTTCTTATACACTCAGCTCGCCTTAATTGGTACGTAAACTTCATATTATTCAAAGACGTGTGTCACTTAGAGTCATTCCTTTTATGTATATATATATTATTTATTTATTATTTTGAATTTTGGGTTGTCCTCATAAATAAAGATAACTCAAAATATCGTGAAACTTTAATGATTTAGGACTGAAAATGGGTTGAAATTTAAAGCAAACTCATAATTTGACCATACTTGTAGGTTGCAATAATTGATTGAATATAATGGAAAATTGAAAGAATTTAAATAATTGAATGAGAGATTTTAACCCTACCTAATTTATTTATTTATTTATTTATTTGAGGAAATTTTTTCAATATTATTTTTGTTCAAAATTATACAAAAAAAAATGTTAATTGGGGTTCTAAAAATTTAAATTTTAATATTATTATGTCGTATTTAAATATTAAAAAACTTTTGTTTAAATAAAATTTTAAAATTAACTAATTTATTTTTTTTAATATAATTAATATATATATATATATATATTTTAATAATTGTTGAAAAATATATTTATATTAAGGGAAGTGTTGATGGATATAATTATAATCTCGTTTTCGAACCCATTTATTTGTCGGGAAAAATGTTCTACGCTTCCACTCCCATTTTTCATTTAAAGGGAGAATCTACTCCATGTTCGTGTTGAGGATTATTGAGTGTGAGTCCCACGTTGGTTAATTTAGTGGAAAATCATGGATTTATAAGTGAGAAATACTGTCTCCATTGGTATGAAGCCATTTAGGAAAGTCCAAAACAAAGCCATGAGAGCTTATGCTCAAAGTGGACAATATCATATTATTGTGGAGAGTCGTGATTCGTAACCGTTCGTGAGTTGAGTTGTGTTCTTTAAAATCTTAAGGGGGCAAAAAAGTAATTGCAAAGAACATCATGAATAAAAGTTTATATTTTATTGTTTACTCCTTTACCGTTATTAGTATTGAAAGTAATCCTTTTGGGCCATTGGTAAAGGCTGTTTTTCTGATGGGCCTTCAGACCATAGATTTGGCCCATTATGAAGCTTGTTTTTTAAAGAAGGCCCAAGAGCTCTGAAACTACTGATTTGAAGAAACCCCATTTTTTAGGAATTTTACAAATTCCTCGATGTATCGCTGATGAAGCTTTGCGTCCCCAAAAATGGCGGCAAACTCTGTAGCTCGCTTTCTAATCTTCTCCCCTTCTTCGGAAGCCATAGCTTCTCTCAAAGCTTTGGCTATGTCTTCTCCACTGAAAGATCCATCCTCTTCCTTTCTTTCAACTTCAACTGCCACTCCCTTCTCCACCAAAAGCCTCGCATTCAGCGGCTGATCCACGATGAACGGCAACAGAACTAGGCAATGCCCGAATTGCAGAGCTTCAATGGCGGATCCCCACCCGCCGTGAAAGAAGCACCCTCCGATCGCCGGATGCCCTAAAATCTCCATCTGTGGGGCCCATCCCATACTCACAATCCCTCTCTCCGCCGTCCGATCCTGGAAACCAGCCGGAAGCGCGTCGGAGTCCCCCGCCCAGTCCGGTTTCCTCAGAGACCATAAAAATGGCAGTTCCGAAAGCTCCAAGCCGCGCGCTATCTTGTGTATTTCATCCTTTGTGAGCTTGCATTCGCTTCCGAATCCGACGAACACCACGGATTTGGGGTTTTGTTGATCGAGCCACTCGAAGGTCGATTTCCATGGCGAATCGGCCTCGAACTCTGATTTTTGGGGCTTTTCTGGAGGAAGAAGCCCTAGGGGAATCACTTTCTGTCCGCTATGATCCGTGTAATACTTCAAATAATCAACATCAAATTCGTAACAACTACGAATTACAAATGCTTGAATAGCGGAAATAATCTTCACTGATCTTTCGTGATCGCTCAAACCGGAATCGTTCTTCACATACACTTCACCGAGAATTTTTTCCGCTTCATACCGCCGGTACGCCACTTTGGAGCCGTCGATCTTCGGCGGCGACATCAGGCTTCTAATATCCGGCGGAGACTTACCAACTCCTACAATCGGGGCAAAGAAAGCAAGAGGCGCAGGCGAGTAAACGCTACAGAAAACGATCGGAATTTGAAAATCTCGAGAAATGTTACAGATCCAAGTAGCATTAAAATCGACGATCAACCAATCCGGCGTATGAGGATGATTAGCAACAAATTCTCGAAACGGCGGCTCGGCAAGATCTAGAGCCAGTTTCAGAAACGGAATTTTGTCAAACGGAATGTCGACGGTGGCCTCTGCACCTTCCGGCAAGGGGTCGCCGGGGAGTTTGGGGAGTGGAATGGGCACCAGAGTTATGAACGGCGACAGAGATGGAGGAATTCCGGGGAGTCTTTTGAGATTTCTGGGGGTGGAGATGAAGGAGACATGGACGCCGGCTTTGGCTAAGGATATGGCGAGTTGAAAATGGGGCATTAAATGGCCGAAGGCCGACCATGGAAGCAGAACAACGTGAAGAGCTTTGTTTTCCGCCATTTTTATGAGCTCGAGGAAGACGATAATGGTGGTGTTGAGAGATAAAGAGGTTTGGGTATTTATAGTTAGAATCTGAGAGTGCTTCCATGAAAGTTACATTAATATCTTTAATTCTTTTTTTTTTTTCTTACCATTTAAGCCTTAAATTTTGATTTGTACTCCAATAAATATAGTTTGGTCAAAAGACGCAAAAAAAAAACAATGAATCAGTTGCAATTATATATGACGACAAAGTTAGTTACACGCTCATAAAGGAAAGTAAATTTTGAAAAATGGAGCGGATTTGAAATGTGTCTTAACCAATTAAATTGTGCTCCCCAAATTTCCTAGGGATGAAAAAGTCGAGAATATATGTCTTAACCAATTGACCTGTAATCTGTAAATGTTCGGGGACGAAAAAGTAATTGCATACAATGGAGAGAACATATCATAATCTTTACCCTAACAATTCAAGTGAAGGAACGAGCCTTTGGGCCATTGATAAGGGTTGCAAGCTACTGATTTGAATCCCCAGTTTTGAGGAATTCTACAAATTTCTCAATGTATCGCTGATTAAGCTTGGTGTCCCCAAAAATGGCGGCAATCTCTGTAGCTCGCTTTCTGATCTTCTCCCCTTCTTCGGAAGCCATAGCTTCTTTCAAAGCTTTGGCTATGTCTTCTCCACTGAAAGATCCATCCTCTTCCTTTCTCTCAACTTCAACTGCTAAACCCTTCTCCACCAGAAGCCTCGTGTTCAGCGGCTGATCCACGATGAACGGCAGCAGAACTAAACGATGCCCGAATTGCAGAGTTTCAATGGCGGATCCCCATCCGCCGTGAAACAGACTCCCTCCGATCGCCGGATGACCTAAAATCTCCATCTGTGGGGCCCATCCAATACTCACAATCCCTCTCTCCGCCGTCCGAGCCTGGAATCCGTCCGGAAGCGCGTCGGAGTCCCCCGCCCAGTCTGGTTTCCTCAGAGACCATATGAATGGAACCTCCGAAAGCTCCAAGCCGCGCGCTATCTTGTGTATTTCATCCTTTGTGAGCTTGCATTCGCTTCCGAATCCGACGAACACCACGGATTGGGGGTTTTGTTGATCGAGCCACTCGAAGGTCGATTTCCATGGCGAATTAGCCTCGAACTCTGATTTTTGGGGCTTTTCTGGAGGAAGAAGCCCTAGAGGTATCACTCGATTTCCGCTATAATCAGAGTAATACTTCAAATAATCAACATCAAATTCGTAACAACTACGAACTACAATTGCTTGACTAGCAGAAATAATCTTCACTGTCCTTTCGACATCGCTCAAACCGGAATCGTTCTTTTCAAAAGCTTCATCGTGAACTTTTGCAGCGTCATACTGCCGGTACGCCACTGTGGAGCCGTCGATCTTCGGCGGCGACATCAGGCTTCCGATCTCCGGCCGAGGCCGACTACTGCTTAGAAAAGGGGCATAGAAAGCAAGAAATACAGGTGTGAAAACGCTGAAGAAAACGATCGGAATTTGAAAATCTCGAGAAATGTCGCAGATCCAAGTCGCATTAAAATCGACGATCATCCAATCCGGCGGATTAGGATGATCGGCGACGAATTTTCGAACCGACTGCTCAGCGAGATCTAGAGATAGTTTCAGAAACGGAATTTTGTCGAACGGAACGTCGACAGTGGCCTCTGCACCTTCCGGCAAGGGGTCGCCGGGGAGTTTGGGGAGTGGAATGGGCACCAGAGTTATGTATGGCGACAGAGATGGAGGAATTCCGGGGAGTCTGTTGAGATTTTTGGGTGTGGAGATGAAGGAGACATGGACGCCGGCTTTGGCTAAGGCTAGGGCGAGTTGGAAATGGGGCATTAAATGGCCGAAGGCCGACCATGGAAGGAGACCGACATGAACAGCTCTTCTTCCCGCCATTTTTGTGAGCTTGAGGAAGATGATGATGATGAAGTTGAGAGATAAAAGAGCTTTGGGTATTTGTAGTTATAATCAAAGCAACTAAGTAAAGTGCTTCTATGGAAGTTACAAATGTGATTTGAGTGGACATGGCTTGTGTTTGAATCAATTTATAGTCGTTAGCTCAATAATGTTGGGGATGGTGACTATATTCTTGGCCACTTTCGTCTATATAAATATATATTTTAAATGAAGAATATATAATATTGGAAACCCGAATTTATGCATTAAAAATTTATTTTAAATGTAAAAAAAAATTCCCATATAAAAATTGAAATAGGAACCGAAAGAAGTCAGAATTCCTTTTTCTTTCTTATTAAGTCTCCTATTTTGATTCGAGCTCAAACAAGGAAAGATATCATATAAAAGTGACAAAAACAATAGTTATTTAAGGCAGGCAGTTCAAAAGAGCAAAAAAACAATAGTGATTTAGGGAGTCACCGTTCAATGTTGATAAATAATTTGAAAAGTTGTTGGTTGTTGATGAACGAAAGGAAAAAGCGAAAACTGTGGGTGGGTAGGTGAAACGACCTGCTTTTCGAAGGATTTGAGCTCAGACTGTTACTAGGTGATGCAAAAATAAGTAAAAAAACGTAAATTTTAAAACTTTTAAACGTGCATGTACATTAAGCAAATCTAGATTTAGTCTCATTCTCATTAGAGGATTTGTCCTCCGTTATAGGTGTCTCCTAGGCTACACCCTAAGTTTACGCTTGGTTCTTGTTCCTATATGGACCTCACGTCCTCGAAATATTTATTATTAAGTTCTTTAAATCTCCCACTAAAAATATAAAAAGTAATGTAGGTAAATTTAGTCCTTTACTCTTGATACTATTTTCACCCATCCATTTGGGCCATTTGCTGTTTTCTTATGGGCCTTCACACCATACTTTTGGCCCACTATGAATTTTCTTATTAAAAAGGCCCAAAAGGCCCAAAAGCTTCACGCGGATCCAAAGGCTCTGAAACTACTGATTTGAATCCCCATTTTTTAGGAATTCTACAAATTCCTCGATGTATCGCTGATTAAGCTTGGTGTCCCCAAAAATGGCGGACATTTCAGTAGCTCGCCTTCTAATCTTCTCCCCTTCTTCGGAAGCCATAGCTTCTTTCAAAGCTTTGGCTATGTCTTCTCCACTGAAAGATCCATCCTCTTCCTTTCTTTCAACTTCAACCGCCACACCCTTCTCCACCAAAAGCCTCGCATTCAGCGGCTGATCCACGATGAACGGCAACAGAACTAGACGATGCCCGAATTGCAGAGCTTCAATGGCGGATCCCCAACCTCCGTGAAAGAAGCACCCTCCGATCGCCGGATGCCCTAAAATCTCCATCTGTGGGGCCCATCCCATACTCACAATCCCTCTCTCCGCCGTCCGATCCTGGAAACCGGCCGGCAGCGCGTCGGAGTCCCCCGCCCAGTCCGGTTTCCTCAGAGACCATAAAAATGGCAGTTCCGACAGCTCCAAGCCGCGCGCTATTTTGTGTATTTGATCCTTTGTGAGCTTGCACTCGCTTCCGAATCCGACGAACACCACGGATTGGGGGTTTTGATGATCGAGCCACTCGAAGGTCGATTTCCATGGCGAATCGGCCTCGAACTCTGATTTTTGGGGCTTTTCTGGAGGAAGAAACCCTAGAGGAATCACTCTCTTTCCGCAATAATTCGAGTATAACTTCAAATAATCAACATCAAATTCGTAACAACTACGAACTGCAATTGCTCGACTAGCGGAAATAATCTTCGTTACTCTTTCGCGATCGCTCATACCAGAATCGTTCTTCTCAAACAAATCAGCATGAATTTTGGCAGCTTCATGCCGCCTGAACGCCACCGTGGATCCGCCGATTATCGGCGGCGACATCAGGCTTCCGATTTCCGACAGAGGCAGACCACTCCCAAGAACATGAGCGAAGAAAGCAAGAAATCCAGGCGAGAGAACGCGAAAGAAAACAATCGGAATTCCAAACTCCCGAGAAATATCGCAGATCCAAGTAGCATTGAAATCGACGATCATCCAATCCGGCGGATGAGGATGATCGGCGACGAATTTTCGAACCGACGGCTCAGCGAGATCTAGAGCGAGTTTCAGAAACGGAATTTTGTCGAACGGAATGTCGACAGTGGCCTCTGCACCTTCCGGCAAGGGGTCGCCGGGGAGCTTGGGGAGTGGAATGGGCACCAGAGTTATGAACGGCGACAGAGATGGAGGAATTCCGGGGAGTCTGTGGAGATTTTTGGGGGTGGAGATGAAGGAGACATGGACGCCGGCTTTGGCTAAGGCTACGGCGAGTTGAAAATGGGGCATTAAATGGCCGAAGGCCGACCATGGAAGTAGAAGGACATGAACAGCTTTGTTTTCCGCCATTTTTGTGAGCTTGAGAATAGATGAAAGTGCTTTGGGTATTTATTGTTAGAATCGAATCAACCAGGAAAGTGCTTCAACGGGAGTTGCTTGTGTGATTGCGTGAATATTGTGAGCTTGGAATACGTGAACCTTGCTTATTTATTATTATTATTATTATTGTTGTTGTTAAGCGTTGATCTATAAATAAATAAATAAATATATATATATATATATAAAAGTTAAATTAGACTTGAATTGACTTATTTAATAATTTTAAGTAATATAATTATTGTTGTTAATAAAAAGGTTAATGAATTAAATACTCAATTTTTATAATATTCTACGTAGAATAATTTAATGGTTTTTTTTTTTGTACAATAAATATATCTTAGAGATTTAAACTTTAATCACACAAAGACCAACCATCTCTTAACTAATAATATATGATTTTATTATTATTTATAAGATTGAAGATCTAAATATTCTACCTAAATTTATTTTATTTATTGGCATACTAGACTCTAGAGAAATATGGGACCCACGATTCAAGTAAATCTTTAAAAGTCGTGTTTTGACTAGGAATATTTGAATTGTTGACTTAGACTTAAAAGAAAAAATAAATACTTAGGTTAAATTATTCAACCCCTTTTTGTAAAAGAAAAGAAAATTGAAGCATCTAATGTGGAAAATAAGAGCAAAGTGATGCTCTTTCTATTGACTTTTGTGTCCCGAGAAGAATGAAAAAGAATATGTTAAATTATAAATTTGGTCCTTATATTAAACTTTAATCCTTGTAATTTCATTAAAAAAATAAAATAAATGTGAAAATAATTAAAATTTCGCTCCTTCCGCCGTTGCCGCCGCTCAACGGTGTCGCCGCCGTACCCCGGCAGCCTTCATCTTTGCCGGTCACCATTACTATTCTCTACAGCATCCATTCCAAATTTAAGTCTCCACATCTCTCTCTATAAATACACAATTTTCTTCTCATTGATGAACCGCCGTGTAATCCCCTTTCTCTTTGCTGTTCCACAAACACAACCGGAATCGGAATCTTCTCTCTCTCCGACCGCCATGGGGTATCCCGTAGGCTATGCCGACGTATTTTTCTCCAACGCCTTTCTCCATCTCCTCGTCTTTCTCGGCTATATTCGAAGCCTCATTATTTCGCTCTACCGAATCCTAGGGCTTCCCGATTTTCTCGAATCCAGCGTCGTTTGGCCTCAAAATCCAACCCCGATCATCGACGATCATTCCGTATTGCCGATCCGAATCGAGGAATTTTTCCCCATGGTAAAATTCTCCGACATTTTCGACGCCGCCGGAGCCGGATTTCCACCGGAATGTTGCGCCGTTTGTCTCTGTGAGTTTCAGGACGACGAGGAGGTTAGGTTTTTGAAGAATTGCAAACACATTTTTCATAAGGAGTGTTTGGACGGATGGATGATTCGAGATCAGAGAAGCTGTCCACTCTGTAGAACCCTGATCGTGCCGGAGGAGTCGATGCCGGCGCTCGTGGATTTTGCCGGTTGTTCTGAGTTTTCCGGCGACTATAGCTAAGTTTAATTTTTTTCTTTTTGTCCCTTAATTAGAAATATTGGTTCTTAATTCTGAACCAAAAGATTGCTGGTGGGTGATAAATTAGATTTCATTCCCCCAGAAAATCCCAAAGAAAGGTGTGTTTTTTGTCCGCTTATGATATTACAACTGGCAGATTTTGATTCAAATCCCTCCACTTTTAACTTTTAAAAAACTTTATCAAATATTAAAATGAAAATAAAGATTACAACAGAATTAAAGAACTATCCTAACAAGACGAGGAGCCATGTCTTTGATATGCCTCTAGCACAACAGATATATAGTTGAAGTTATGTCGACAAGTTCTTGTCAATCCAAATGAACCATCCTTTCTAAAAAGGTTAATCTTTGCCTATTACAAAAACCTGGAGTCGCAAAGGGGCGTGAAAAAAAAACTCTAAAAATAGAAGTAAAAAAGAGAATTGGAGATGTTTCCTCAAACAAGACAAAGATTTGCCCTATTTAAAGAAATCAAATTTATTAACAAACATAGACAAAATTTTATATAATCTATTTTTGAATCTTATACTCAATTGAATACCTTTGATTCAAAATGCAATTAAAAAAAAAAAAAAATTATCTAACAATAACTAAAATGAGTCAATTGAGCTTGTGTAGACTTTTAATTTTGTCCTATAATTTTCTAATTTTCTTTTTTAAAAAAATATCTTATGAGATATAAAACTTAAAGTTTACACTTAAATAAACACATTTTAAAATTTAAGGATGTGATGGTACTTTTGTATCAGTAAATTCATGAGTTTATTGAATAAATTAAGAATTCATTAGAAACAAAATTAAAAATTTAAAAACTTAATACGTAAGTCTTTGGACAGACCTATTAGGCATTTTTGAAAGTTCAAGAACAAAATAAACACGGCTAAATTGCTATAAATTATACTCTTTGGTTCCATTGGAATACCACATCCATCATTTAATATCATGATATCATGAGATATAGAATTGAAATTACTCACCAGCCTTTCCTGATCCCTTCAGTGCTTTACCATTCCTTTCATTTATGACTTCAACCCATCTTGAAATTAGCAACACACTAACCACAAAGTTAGAAGTTAGAATTTTTCATCCCATATGACTGAAATTTTTTTCAAGTAATCAAATCAATTTATAATTCAAGTTAATTAATATATAACTTCACAAGAATATAAATTATATATATATATATAAAAGAAATCAGTACCATCTGTATACAAATAAAAATATGTCAAAAGTCAAGTTCAAGGCAGATGCCATAACTATTTTAGCAGTTGGTTGCACTGATGCTACATAGTTCATTATGGACAATTGATTACCTTGAAAATCCATCCAGGAACGGTTTTCAAACGTTTCAACTGCTCTTAACATTATTTGCTTTGTGGAACAGTGACCACCATTAAGGCCATGAAACTACCAAAACTAACTTGAAAAATGCCTTTTATCACACACGATTGACCAAGACGAGATGCAAGATAATAAAGATGGTGAGGGGTACCGATGTTGAAAGCTGCTGTGGAGATTGTCTACAGCAAATCAATTCTCCCGCTCTCTACAAGTGATTTTATAGGCTTGTAGCGAATAATGTGTAATACATTGGCCTCCATCTCAAACGGTTCCTCTCTGTAGAATTTGATATGCTTTAGAAATAGTCATATATAATAGCCAAAAAAAAAAAAAAAAAAAAAAAAAAAAAAAAAAAAAAAAAAA